TGTTCAGGGCTGTGGCATCGGCGGTGCCTTCAATGCACCACTGGGCATGGTACAGATGTGTGTGTATACACATCTGCACCTTCAAACCACCTACACTACTTCAAAATGGTAGGAAACTGGAGCAGACCTCTTACTTTGTGAGCCAACTTAAGCTTAGGGCTCCCTCCCAAAAATTCTCGCATTCCAGATTCTAAGTAAATATAAGTAAACGGGACCCATCTTACTGTGCGCAGTCCTAAAAGGCTAGGCGTGCCACGTATGCAGATACATGGAGTCTGTTTACTTTCTCCTGATTTTGGTAAATTCTGCCATTTTGACCCTCGGGATGTCAGAGAAAACATGACATGCACTCAATAAAATGAAATGCACTCAAGTCAGTTGCTAAATACCATCAGAATCAACCACGAGCTTGATTTCCAAGTTATTTGCAGTTGGCCAGCTAGTCGACGTGATCAGTTGATGGCTGATGACTAATACGGTTCTTGCTTTGACTGTTATGAAAAAGTAAAATGTACCCTAGCCTTCAAAACGTGTCAGGAACGTGATGCAGAAGCGTAATAGGCGTCGAAAACTCAATGACCGACGGAAATAACATGCACGTCGGCAGCGCGTAAGATTACGTCCGACAATTAAGCGTAAAAATTCATCGGCGCATGTCCAATGCCAAGGCGCTGAGGGGAGTCGTCATCCTGCGATCTCGGACTCATGCGTATGCAGTAATTTGGGTAGGCCCGTACACACGAGCGGACGAAAGGTCCTAGCGCTCACAAGCACATGTGGGGCTCTTGGCAACAGAATAAGATCCTTCTGACTTCATCACAAGAGCCCACAACCAATATGGAGAGCCCCGGAGCGGTCAAGAATGCCCCGGCCGAATCGGATTTGGGTCCGGGGTGGTAGTGGTTTAATGGTTAGTGCGCTCGACTCTAGATCTGCCTGTCTGAGGCTCGAGCCACGTCCATGCCACCGACGCATCCCACATGATTCCTTATGAAAACATCCTTCTCGAAATGCCCCTGGCCATCGGTGAGATGCAAAGCCGCTATCATGTTCATTAAGATTTAATCCCCTGCCAACGGTGTATTATATGAAAACCCAAGACCAATAGGGACGGCACGCCAGCAATCGGGGATGCCGCGGCAGGCCAACAAAGGGGCTTTCGCTAACAGTGCAGAGTCCTCAGGACAAGCGAGAGGAACCCTGCACCGACGTGGTGGGCCCCTGCACCGACGTGGTGGGCCCCTGAACGATGGGGACTGCCACGGCGGGCTTACATACAGGGTCCAGCCAAAGCGCAGGACGCTCTGACCAAAGAAGAATAACACAAAACCGGTGTACGTGAATTGATGCCCCTGTGCTATCAACAGTGCTGGGCAGGTCAATAGAAGGGCCTCTGACAAAGTTGAAGGCTTCCCTGCAAGTGACCTTAAAGGGGAAGAGCCCTAAATAAATGTAGAGGATCTAGGGGCAGCAAGTGCCTCGATATGTTACCTTACATGGGCCCGCAACAGCACAGGACCCTCAGAGCCAAGTGGGGCGAACCCGATATCATGAGTGGCCGCTGAGCAACCAAATGTACCCCGGCATATGGAGGCCCCTGCAACGACGTATAGACGCTCGGGCGAATGCGAAGAAATCGTTACGAATGTGAAAAATGCTCCTCTGTAAAACATGCAGTTTCCAAACTATCTGTTCTAAAATATTGCAATAGACACTTCTGGACCATTTCCGCCAAGCTGTAATGGTAATCGGAACATCATCCACGTAATTGACATGGTTTCTGGTTGGCCTGAGTCATCTGCCACTGAATCAAAAAGCACTGAAACCGTGGCACGACTTATTATTGAGCGTATTATCCCATGCCATGCCTGTGCCCGCGTTATTGAGTCTGACAATTGGACTGAATTTTGTAATGCAGCCGTCAAACAAAATTCCGCATTCTTCAACGTCAGACACTTTCGCAGTTTGGTCTATCATGCTCAAGCAAATGGTAAACGTGAGCGATTTAATCGTGTCCAAACCGATATGCTAGCGAAACTTAACAGCCCATCTCAGACTGGAACAACCATAATTCCCGCTAATTTTTCGGCATATAAAACAGCGAAAACCTTAGTGCAAAATTAAGACCGCTTTTCGTCATGTATGGTCGCGATCCAGTTCTCCCCATGGACATAATTGTCTCCAAAATTCAGATAACGAGGGGATTCGTATGTCCCCACAACGCTGGAAAGTCCTTATCGCTCCTATCGGCAAGCTCGGCATAACGTTGTTTTAAGCCAAAAGCAAAACAAAATGTACTACGACCAAAAAGCAAAACCAGTGGTGAAGATTTGAGTCTGCAACATGGCCTATTTAAGGGATCTCTTGGTTGTCTCTTTGGTGGACTTGAGAGAAAGACTGGCTCGAGCGAGGTCTACACTAGCATAACTATAACGCAAGCAGCACGAGATCTGCCACATTTCTATGTCCTGTGTGTGAGCGTGCGTGTGTGTGTGTGTGTGTGTGTGTGTGTGTGTGTGTGTGTGTGTGTGTGTGTGTGTGTGTGTGTGTGTGTGTGTGTGTGTGTGTGTGTGTGTGTGTGTGTGTGTGTGTGTGTGTGTGTGTGTGTGTGTGTGTGTGTGTGTGTGTGTGTGTGTGTGTGTGTGTGTGTGTGTGTGTGTGCGCGCACACACACACACACACACTCGTAAATATCAACGTATGTGTGTATGCATACACTTTTGTTTCGTGCTCTGTGCAAATCGAGCAAAAGGACTGACCAAAACTGACAAGACATCATATTGGAGTGATAGCGAGCAGCAGACGCCGCGGGAACTGCATCTCTACCCATCTACACCGTCAAAATGGTATAAAACTTGAGTAGACCTCTTACTTTGTGAGCCCCTAGAGTTTAGGGCTTCCTCCCCATATCTATACACTTCAAATCACAACATAAAACACGAACACGCAAACAACAATAACCTGTTGATTGGACAGCGCTGGTTGTTGTTTTGGCCTAGCAAAAACTAGACAATTCTTTGGTCCGGCGGAAGACATCATTAGCATCACATACTGTGAAAAATACAATCAACACAGTAAATCACAATACTGCATGCCAGTGCCCCAGCACATGTGTCGTTCATCAGTGTCCTGTTCCTTGGCGGAATGATTTATTTGCGATGCTGCTCCAAGAAAAAGTTCAAAAGTTTAATTCATTGTTTTCCTTAGAAGTGGTTTGTGCTCATGTATGAGCAATGTTTCCATAATGGTGCCCTTCCGTAAGGTGCCCTTTTGAGACGTCGGGACAAAAATATGGTAGCTACGCCATTGTAGGACACGGAACTTGCAGCCACACCCGGCAACGGTCAACGGATGTGTGAAAATGACCACACATCGGAAATCAGTACTTTTCAACGCTTTATGAAATCAATCGGTATGTGTTCAAAGGTGTCCAGGGTCGAGAGTTCACCAGTGCAATTCTTAGATTGGCACTCGGGGCGAACTACCACAAAGAGCACCACGAACGTGGGCACGATGGCCTAATCTCTCTTGCTCGTAATGCTGCAACTGCTAAATACGTTCAGAGAATCAACTGGTCAACCAACTGACTTGCACTGATCAAATGTTCTGGTCAGGAGCTGAAGGGCATTCCGTCCCATTCCGGGTTCCTTTGCGGCTGCTATGCTGGTGGTAACCCCGAGTCCCTAAAGAAACCCTCAGAAGGATGCATCACAATCGGTCCCCGCCTCGATGCGTCTGGTCCTATGACTGGGACGTCCAGGGGCGGATCGGCGCAGGGGACCTCGCTGCCGCAAACAGACACTTTGCCGGCACAGGAAGTCAAATAACTGGTACCGATACATTTATTCACCCTATCATTCCCTGGTTGAAATTCGCCTTCTCGGCCCGGCCTCACCGGCCCGTAGTCACTTCATGTCCACAGGTCCGAGATATCACGGGATGACGACAACGATTGAGCTTGTAACATCTATTACACCTCTGCATCCCGCTTTTGATATATTTTGAACATCACGATATTTTTATTCTTTCATAACAGTCAAAGCAAAAACCGCAACAGCCATCAGGCATCAGCTGATCACATCGGCCAGCCGGCTAGCCGTAAATGAGTTGGGAATCAGGCTCGTGCTTGATTTTGATGGTATTTGGCAGCCAACTTGAACGCATTCTGTCATGTTTGTTTTCATGCGACCAAAAGTAGCGAGTCGGAACAGGACGGGATCGGACACGATCAGAACAGTACTGGGACTGACCACACGACCACGTTTGACCACGTCTGGTCCCGTCTGCCCCGTGTGTTTCCATCTAGTCCACCTGGGCTGGAATGGTTCCATCCGGTCACGTGCAGTATCATATGGTTCCGCTCGGTTCCATCTGGTTTGTTCTCATCACATTCGGTTCCGTCCTGTCCTGTCCAGTCCTTTATAGTCCCGCTCAGTCCCGCCGGATTCCATCCGGCTCCTCCAGTCCCACCCCATCGCGCCAGGCCCCATGCGACACTTTCCGGCCCTGTCTCACCTCATCCGATTCTGACACGTTTCTTCCGATCTACCGGTCCGGTCCGTCTGGGTTCGTTACACCCCAACTGGCAACGTTCCGTCCCGTCCAGTAATGTCCGGTTTCTGTCGGTCACACCCGATGGCGTCCAATATCGTGTGATCCCGTCCGGTTTGGTTCCGTCACTTCCGGGCCTGTTCGCTCCCATGCAGCCCCTCCGGTGCCATCCGGTCCCGTCTAGCCCCACGGCGTTTCATCCGATTCCATCCGGTCCCTTCTGATCGTGTTCGGCCCGGTTGTACTGTTTGGCTCTATCCAGTTTCGTCTGATCCTGTCTGTTCCCGTCCTGTGCCGTCCGTTCTAGTGCAATTTAGTGCGGCCCTGTGCGATGCCATTACAAAGTTGCCAGTGATTTTTGGTTTTATGACGTCACCAAACAGCCAGCTGAAAGTGAGATCTTGTATTCTTGTATGATCTTGCATTCGCCATCTTCGCAGAGCAAAGTTTTGAACTAGATGATATGGGTTGCCATTGCCTCTGCTGATACCAATATAATGTGGATTTTGTTCTAAACTTGGGTGTAGGGGAGACTGTTGTAATAACCCTTTTTCTCGAAGGTAAACCAGGAGAGTGGGAAGATGGGTGCAGTGATATTTCGGCAACGTGACGAGGCCGGTGGCTGTTCGTTTGAATCAAGGCATGCTGCCAAAGTATCAGCACATATATCCGTTTGCCCGTTTTTTCTGCAAGGAATAAGACTTACTACTGTCTTTTCTACATGCAGGATGTTCCTTGGGCTTTTTTTTACTTGGGTACCTGTATTGCCGACGGTGGGGAGAGAGCTACGCTGGCTGCAGGGTTCCTGTACTGCCATGATGGAGAAATGCTGTTAGGTATCAGCCGACGTAGTGACGTCACTGAAAATGGGTTTGCATCGATCTGGGTTCTTTTGGGCCGACTGAAGGCTACAAGGCTTTTGCTAGCGATATGATGTCACTGGTATTCGACTGGATATGTGACGTCACTGGTTGTGAGGCTTTAGGGCTCTTTTGGGTGCAATGAATGCCGTAAAGCATCACCTGACGATATGTCGTCGCTGGTATTCAATGAAACATCAGGCGCAACGGGCCTTATTCCATCTTTACCTTTCGTACCTGTCTGCTGCAAGCATTTGCGTGCCGAATAAAAGCTTGACCGAATCACCTGAATGTGTGACGTCACCAATCACCACTTGATACGAGTGCACTTAGGCCCCACGGCCGCGTTGTATCATGTTCCGTGAAATATCACTGGGTATCGTGACGTCAGTGATATTCGACTAAATATTGGTCGCAACAGGTCAAGGTTCATTTTTAGCTTCATACCTGTCTACTGCAAGCACTGGCGTGATGAATAAAAGCTACCAAATCACGTGAGTGTGTGACGTCACTGGTCATGCATTTTTATGGATCTTTGGGGGCCAACTGAGGGCCGTAAAGCATAGCCTAATGATGTGACGTCACTGGCATTCGACTGCGTGTGATGTCACTTGTGATCAGATTTTACGGCCTCTTTTGGGCCGACGAAAGGTCATACTACATTAACTGAAGATGCGCCGTCACTGGTATCCGAATACAATTCAGGCGGCCATGGCCATGCTCCATCTTTACCTTTGGTACCTGTCCATTGCAAGTATTTGAATGCTGAAGGAAGGGTCTGCCGAATTACCTGAGTGTGTAACGTCACTAACCATTAATTTGTATAGACTGTTTTGAACCCACTGTAAGCCATACCACATCAGCTGACCATATGACGTCACCGGTTTTCGTCTAGGTGTCATGCGCAACAGGCCATGCTCTATCTTTGCCTTTCGTACCTGTTTACTGCAAGCATTCGCGTGCTATATCAAGGTGATGCTGAACCATCTGAGTGCGTGACGTCACTGGTCATGAGTTTATACAGGTTCACTTGGGCAGCCCAATGCAACAAAGCATCATATCCTGTAAAGCATCGCGGGATGATATGACGTCACTGGTATTCGACACAACATCAGGCGCAACAGGCCATGTTCCATCTTTACCTTTCGTACCTGTCTACTGCAAGCATTCGCGTGTTATATCACGTCATTGGTTAAGAGTTCTTACGGGCTCTTTTCAACCCCCTATATGGTATAATGCTTCAGTTGACGATATGATGTCACTGGTGTTCGACTTAGCATCAGGCACAACATGTCATGTTCCATCTTTGCCTTTCGCACCTGTTAAAGTATTGGCGAGCCTAATGATGGCTCTGCCGAATCATCTGAGTCCGTCATCATGAGTTTTTACAGGCTATTGTTGGCCGGGAAAGCCATTAGGCATCATCTAACGATATGTCGTCACTGGTAATCCACTAAGTGTGTGACGCCATTGGTCATGAGTTTTCCCGCGCCTTTTTGGGCCGACTTAAGGCCATTAGGCATCAGGTAACGATATGACGTCACTGGTATTCAATTAAGCATCAGATACAATATGTCATGTTTCATCTTTACCTTCCGCACCTATCTACTGCAAGTATTCGCGCGCCACATAAAGGCTCTGCCCAATCACCTGAGCGTGTGGTGTGACTGGTTATGAGTTTACGCGGGTTTACTCGGGCTGACTGAAGGACATCAAGCATCATCTGGCGATGTGACGTCACTGGTATTCAACTTAACACCAGGCGCGACAGGCCATGTTCGTCTTTACCTTTCGTACCTGTCTATTGTAAGCATTGACATGCTTAAGGAAAGCTCTGTGAAATCTCCTGAGTGTGTAATGTCACTGGTCATGAGTTCTTTACGGGCTGCTTTTTTGTACCTATAGGGTACAAGACATCAGTTGACGATATGACATCACTGGTATTTGACTTAATCTCAGGCGCAACAGGTCATGTTCCATCTTTGCCTTTCGCACCTCTATACTGCAAGTATTCGCGCGCTACATAAAGGCTCTGCCGAATCACCTGAGCATGTGGTGTAACTGGTCATGAGTTTACGCGGGCTTACTCGGGCTGACTGAAGGACATCAAGCATCACCTGACCATATGACGTCACTGATATTCGGGCTGTGGCCCAGACTTATGGCCGCTAGGCGGCGCCCTTGATTATTATTTAGCCATCAGGGCATTCCGGACCGTAGCTGCTCAGGGGCGCATCCTGTGATGTCGGGCGGAATAGCTTTGCATATACGTCGGTTTGTGGGCTGGGATCACCTTTGTTTTGTGTTTACGTTTGTTCAAAATTTTAGTCGTTGAAACAGCCCGTTGCGTTTGAAGTTGTTACTTAATGGTGCGCACAATAAAATTAGTGTGCTTAACTATGGTGCATCTCCCACCTCTGCTGCGGAACTCCGTAGCCGTAGGTGGCCAAGTGACCTCCTACCAACTGATGATCAGTGACGTCACAAACTCAGGTGATTCGGCGGAGCCTTCATATAGCACGCGAATATTTGCAGCAGCCAGGTACGAAAGGCAAATATGGAGCATGACCTGTTGCGCCTGATGTTTAGTCGAGCACCAGTAACGTCATGTCGTCAGCTGATGCATTATAACCTAAAATGGGTTCAAAGGAGCCCGTAAAAAACTCGTGACCAGTGACGTCACACACTCAGGAGATTCGACGGAGCCTTCATTCAGCACGTCAATACCTTTAATAAACAAGTACAAAAGGTAAAGAAAGTACGTGGCATGTTGGACCTGATGTTAAGTCGAATAACAGTGACGACATATCATCCTGTGATGCTTCACGGGAGGTGTTGCTTTGTGGCCTTGGGCGGCCCAGGTGAATCCGTATGAACTCATGACCAGCGACGTCACCCACTCAGATGATTCGTCTGGAGTTTGGTCGATTACCAGTGACGTCATATCGTCAGCTGATGCTTGATGTCCGTCAGTCACCCCGAGTAAACCTGCACAAACTCATGGCCAGTTACACCACACGCTCAGGCGAATCGACAGAGCCTTTTTGTAGCGCACGAATACTTGCAGTAGGCAGGTGCGAAAGGTAAAGATGAAACATGGCTTATTGCAACTGATGTTAATTCGAATACAAGTGACGCCATAACGCTATCTGATGCCTAATGACCTGAACTCGGCCAAAAAAGGCCCGTAAAAGCTCATGACCAGTGACGTCACACACTCAGTGGATTACCAGTGACGTCATTTCGTTAGCTGATGCCTTATGGCTTTCGCTCAGCCAAAAATAGTTGGTAAAAATTCATGACCAGTGACGTCGCACACTCAGGTGACTCGGCAGAGCCATCATTTAACGCACCAATACTTTACAGGTACGAAAGGCAAAGATGGAACATGACCTGTTACGCCTCATGTTAAGTCGAACACCATTGACATCATGTCGTCAACTGATGCATTTTTCCCTATAGAGGGTTCCAAGGAGCCAGAAAAAACTCATGACCAGTAACGTTACACACCCAGGAGACTCGACAGAGCCTTCATTCAGCACGTCAATACTTGTAATAGACGGGTACGAAAGGTAAAGATAGAACATGGCCTGTCGCGCCTGATGTTAAGTCGGACACCAGTGACGTCATATCATCGGCTGATGCATTATACCGTTTGGGGGTGCAAAAGGTCCCGTAAAAAGCTCTTGACCAGTGACGTTACTTACTCAGGAGACTCGACAGAGCCTTCATTCAGCACGCCCATACTTCCAAGAGACAGGTACGAAAGGTAAAGATGGAACATGGCCTGTCGCGCCTGAAGTTTAGTCGAATACCAGTGACGTCATATCGTCAGCTGATGCTTGATGTCCTTCAGTCAGCCAGAGTAAACCCGCGTTAACTCGTAACTAGTTACACCACACGCTCAGGTAATTCGGCAGAGCCCCTGTGTCGCGCGAATACTTGCAGTAGATAGGTGCGAAAGGTACAGACGAAACATGGCTTAGATGGAGCATGGCCTGTTGCGCATGATGTCTAGTCGAAACCCAGTGACATCATATCGTCAGCTGATGCCTTGTGGCCTATAGTAGGCTCAAAAGAGTGTGCAAATTAATGGTCAGTGACGTACACACTCAGGTAATTTGGCAGAGCCTTCCACGGCAATGCTTGCAATGGACAGGTACCAAAGATAAAGGTGGAACATGGTCTGTCGCGCCCGAAGTTCATTCGAATACCAGTGACGTCACATCTTCAGTCATTGCCGTATGACCTCTCGTCGGCCCAAAAGAGGCCGTAAAACCTCATGACCAGCGACACGCACAGTCGAGTGCCAGCGACGTCACATCGTTAGCTGATGCTTTATGGTCTTCAGTTGGCCGCACAAAAAATCCGCCAATACTTGCAGCAGACATGTACGAAAGGTATAAATGGAGCATAACCTGTTGCCTGATGTTCAGCCAAATACCAGTGACGTCATATCGCCAGCTGATGCCTAACGGCATTTCGTCGGTCCTATAGGGCCCGTGGAAACCCACGGCCATTGACGTCTTACAGTCGTATAGCAGTGACGTCGTTAGCTGACACCTTGTGGTCTTCAGTTGGCCGAAAAGCACCGTTGGAACTCATGGCCAGTGATGTCACACACTCAGGTGGTTCGGTAGCTTTCATCCAGCACGCCAATGCTTGCAGTAGACAAGTACAAAGGTAAAAATGAAGCACGGCCTCTTGCGCCCAGTTTTTATTCGAATACCAGTGACGTCACGCTATCCGGTGATACTTCGCGGACCACGACGACACACCGTGGTCGTGAGGCCTAAGTGCACTCGTATGAAGTGATGATTAGGGACGTCACACATTGGGGTAATTCGGTCAAACCTTTATGCGGCACGCAAATGCTTGCAGCAGACAGGTACGAAAAGTAAAGATGGAACGAGGCCGGCCGCGCCTGATGTTCAATCGAATACCAGTGACGACACATGGCCAGCTGATGCATTACGGCATTCAGTGGACCCAAAAGAGCCTTACACACTCACGACCAGTGACGTCACATACCCAGCCGAATACCAGTGACATCATATCACAAGCAAAAGCCTTATGGCCTTCAGTCGGCCCGAAAGAACCCCGATCCCGATCGATGCAAAACCATTTTCAGTGACGTCACAATGTTAGCTGATGCCTCACAGCTTTTGCCCCGCACGACAATACTCAAAACCCTGCAGCTAGCGTATCTCTTCCCTCCGTCGGCCATACAGGTACCCAAGTAAAAAATTACCGTTCCTTGCAAGTTCATTCGACAACTTATGCAATTCTCAGAGCATGAAACAGATGATTCTTAACATAGATGATTGGAGCTACTTTAGAAGTGTAAGACCTGTGTCAGTGATACTAATATCCAGTGCCCTTTTGCTTCCCATGTACATTGATATTTATAGTTGCTGTTTTAGGTTTCAGTGATATATATATATATATATATATATATATATATATATGTATATATATATTGCTATGCTAGTAAATAGTAATATGATGGTCATTTATAGTTGACATTTGTGATATTCCCATGATACTGTGTCAATAGTGTAGCAGTTCAAATGTACATATTCAAAAGCAGTGTGTGTACAGTGATTTTGTTCCCTGCATCATCTGTCCTTCCATCCAGAATGAGAGGCAGGCAACACCATGTGGCCTCTGCACTGAGTGCGTCCAAAATGTCTGATATTAGCAGCAACCCATGCATGTTGTAATGCATGTCATGTGTCACAATACATTCAAGGGATGGTTTTTCCATTACATGTTCCAATTTTTTGCAGCATGCTGCTTTGGTTATGCATCTAAGTTTTGTTGCCATATGTATGAAGTTTTTAACTGTGTTGCCTCCAGCATGAAGATAAACTATGTCATATGTATTGATATCCTTGTTATTTTGCAAATTGTAACCATTCCTCACCTTCTGTTTCACTGTCATAGGAACCTTAAAAAGAGCCTGCCAGACATGTTGGGGGGGGGGGGCCTTGGAGGCATAAAGGTAAATTTATTTACCTTCATGAGCTGAATGGGAGAATGGGCTGCTATATGACTCAGGCACAGGTGTTGGTCTAGGTGCTTTTGTAAGAGTGCTGGCCCCCCATGTAGAGTTGGCCTCCAATGTTGGCTTGCCCCCCCCCCCCATGTTTTTGGCAGGAATGCTACAAAAATGGGGGTTAAAGATGATCATAACACAAAGACTGCCTCCTTTCATCTTTCTGCTTGGTGGTGTCTGGTACCACTCTCATAATAAAAAGTTTTGGCTGCTCCTACTGCAAGATACAAGTATTAACTGCTGAGCAGATAGATGAAGCAATAAACTTCACATACCTAGTGTCATAAGGCACACAATGACTTTTGATGTGTGTAAAACAAAGTGAAAAGCTCTGGAAGAGGGATGGCTTTCAAGTCCTTCATGGCTAACCCCATCCCCATACCCCACAACCAGAATGTAGAGTGCCATTGCTGCCCTAAGGTGGCCTTTAAAGGGGCACCTTCATGTGCTGATTGGAATAGATGTGTGTGTCCAGTGCATGCTCCCTGAATCAAACCATGCATGGCCCCTATACTGCTGAAATTAAAGACTTCTTCTATATAAAGGTTAAGAACATATATTGTATTGAATCAAAACAACATGGGCCAAATCTGGCAAAAAATGGTGTGGGGGTGGGGGTAGGCTGTCGGGCCTTTGGCTTTGCCCGCCTATCCAATAATTTGCAAAAATTGACACCCCTAGACTCAAGTAATCTGTCCATGGCAATGAGAAAGAAAAGTAAGGATAACTTGGCAAAATAACAATGCTCTATGACAGCATAAGTGTTGTTTTGCATTGTATTTGATGGTTGATTAAATGTTTTGTTGTTGATATGTGGTTGATATGTTTTGATTAAAAAGGTTTGTTTATGTAAGCTGTGGTCAAAGATACCTGGATAATGGCCTTTCTCCAGTCTGCCCTGGCCAGTAGGGCTTGTGTGTATGTGTGTATGCATGTATGTATTTCATCTAAAATCCATCCATCAAATAATTTTAAAATTTACATTCAGTGCTTGATTTTGAAACAATATAGCAAAGTTGATGGCCGGGTTCCCATGCATTTAAATGCCAAACCAAGAGCGTGATTGTTGTCAGAAGTGCTAAAAACACAATATAGAAGACTAAAAACACTACAGATGCGTAAAATCAAAAATGACGTACAAGCATGAATGTGTACCAGCCATAAGATTATCACTTCTCAGATTTCCGTCCGGCTGCCGGCATCTCTTATTGCACACTTGAAGGCAGACTGCACCAGCGGTCTTGGCAGCTCCAGCCGTCCTGTTGTGATGGAGCGGTTGGCATGATGGGATACCGCGGACCCGGCAGTTAACACGCTGTGCAATAAAGGGGGGGGGGGGGGCAGTTTGGCACTTTAAAGCATTATTGAAATTTCAGTGATATAAGGGGAAGTTCAAAATCCAACCTGTAGTGGGTCATGTATTTCTGCATCAGTAAGTGCACTGGAAAGGAATACTAAGAAACATTCATTTATCAACTTATTTACAAATTCACAGTCCCAAACATCACTCAAAATAGGTATCTTAGTAGTTTGCTAATGTTGTTTGATCATTTTTGCCAGAAGTGGAAACTGGATGATGAAAATATGCAAAACAATGCTTATTTTCACCAGTAATAACCAATGGGTGTAATTTTCTGCTACATGCTAGTTGTTTTTAGTGCGCATTGTGACCTGTTTAACTAGGAGGCTACTGCTCCAAATGAATGCACTTGCAGCGAACAAGTGAAGACTATCACTTCCTCCTTCCATTCCAGCGCCAGTCTTGCAGTGGCAGCCGAGATGGACAAGATGACGGCACCACGCGGCGCGTTCCTGGACGTGGAGCCGAGCCTGCTGACGGAGCGTCTGTCGGTGATGGGCGCGCCGGCCGAGGAGCCGCTGGACGCGCTGACCATGCCGGCCGAGGCGGCGACCAGCCAGCGGCGAGCCGGCGCGCTCGAGATCCGGCCGCAGCCGGCCGTCTGCTGCAAGACGCGTGATAGCCACGGTGGCAAGGTGTTCGTCAACGTCTGCACCAGCACTGACATCCCGCCGCCCAAGGAGCTGGACGAGCATGAGCTGCGCCAGCTGCTGATGGACGAGGAGCGCGCCGCGGAGTTCCGCGTGCCCATGAGCCTAGGCGAGGCACATAAGGAGCTGGACAAGGCTGGCGGGCCGTGCGTGGCTTACGACGTGGTGATCCATCCTCGCTTTCACGCGCAGGTGGAGGCCAGCCTGCTCTTCAAGACGTTTTTCGTGACAGTGATGATCGAGGCCATCGAGGGTAAGTTCGGCGTCGAGCTGGACAAGAACCAGTGGACCACGATGCGCAACAAGCTGTACCTGGGCAAGATGCCGCGTCACTGGGTGCGGCGCGGTGACCTGCCTATGGTGCAGGAATGCGCGGGCACCGAGCCGGCGCCGCCTGCCAGCCGCCCCTTGATCTCGGAGCTGGAGACGCGCCGGACGGCGCCGGCGCCGCGCGCGCCACCGTACCAGCTGGAGCAGCGCGCTGACGGCCGCCTGCTAGTGCTGTTCGAGCTGCCGGCGGCGGTGATGGCGCCGGCGCAGCTCAGTCTGGAGGTGGGAGAAGACCGGCTGGTGCTAGCGGCCGATTCCGCCTGCCTTCTGGCCGACGTGTTCCTGCCGGGCCCGCTGGAGCCGGAGAGCGCACGCGCCGCCTTCTGCCCCGCCTCCGGCCGCCTTGCCGTGTTGGTTAGCCGGGCCGTCTGAGCCTGGGCTGACCGGAGCAAAGCTGGCACGCGAGTGGGAGGGGCTGTGGCTTGGACGTGCACCGACCCGTCGCTGCCGACCGCAGGTGGCGCTGTGGCAGACGGCGCCAGGCTGAAGAGGCCGCTGGTGTACCCCGTTCGTACGTTAGGAGAATGGAGCGTGTCAAAGCTGAGCATGGAGACATCACCACTGAGCACTCAAAAAAAGCGACTAGAAGGTGTCGCCACATCTTGTGCATGTCGGCCCGAGCACTACCTACGCTGGATTGCGTTCGCTCACACCCCATGTAGGTGTAAGTCTTAATGCCAGTAGCGTTGCCTTCCAGTTGCAAGCTTTCGAAAGCGTGGAGGTGATATAGCCTGCCGTTGGATTGTGTTGTTTCATTGATGTTATGCACCAGTGAGGCTGCAAATATATTTTTTTAATTGTTTTGTCGTTGCTGAACTATCTCCTGCATACTTTTCTGACGACCCACGTCGCATTTCGTCAGTGCTTTGTGCGGACTTTGTTGTCCTTTGCGATCAACACAGGGCCGCTGCTGTCATGCAGGAATGCAATCCATAACTCGAGCAGCATAATGCTTCAAATATCGGTTCCGCGGAATTCTGCAAGGAATTCTTAAGCCAGTTGCCCTTTCATGGCATGCTTCGAATCTACCCGTAAGCGTAGGATTATTTTTTCACTCCAAATTTATGCAGGTTATATATATATATATATATATATATATGTATATATATACACCAGATGGGAGTAAAGGGGGGCGTGACGGGCGTCGGACATACAATACTTAGAGGGATTGTTTTACATTAATATGGGATTTTGAACTGAAATGGCCATCTTGAAGACCTTTTTGGTCTGTTCACAATATTACCGAGTGGGATATACACCAGGTGGAACCGTCCCAATAATGCACTTCTCTGCTAGGATTCCCATGTAATGTCACCGGGGGGACAAATTTAGCGCTAGAACGGCCGCACGCGTGATAACAGGCACGGAGATTGCATGCATTAGAACACACTTAGTTTGTGGAATTATTTGCAAGACCAATGTTGCTAGGAATGGACGAAAGAATCTGCACTAACCCTGCTTTTGAAAATAATTCAAGAACCGAGGCGATAATATGGGACTCAGGAAGCAAGCTATTCGAGGGCGGTTCGTCGCTCTTACGCCGGAGGAGCGCTGGACGTAAGAACATATTTATCACTTAGAAAGCACCAGGGCTCAGGCTGCATCCCGGTTACCAGTCTGTTTCGTTGCATCCCGACTGCCGCCCTCCGGCGAGCTTACCCCTAGCCATACCGTGGAACTTCTGGTCGCCAACTGACATTTGGAGTGGGCCCCGGTTTGGCAGATTACCTAACGGGGCAACATGGTCGCATCGATGTACCCTAGGGCGGTGTATCGGAGCGAGTGCGGGCGTATTCCCACCTCCCTGCCAAGATATCTTTGAGGAACGGTCGGGTGTAGCAGCGCAAGGAGCTTATAAGACGCCCCAAGCTCCTCGACCGGGGCCCCCCGACCCGGGTTTTGCCAGGTACACTGGCGCGGCTCCATCTAACAGGAGCAGTCAAGTCAATGTACACTGAGGCCTAGTCATTCACCAGAACTAGGCCCTAACGGCTGCTAGTTTTATGGTGTAAAGGGTACCGCTGGTTTGCTCTACCTTTCCCAGAAAATGCTGGATAGGCGTGCTTGATCATATAGCCACATGCAGTCTAAGAACGCATCACAATCCACGTTCAAAATCTGTTGGCTATTCACATAGAACGCAGCGGATGAATTGACAAGGATAGTTCCCGTTTGACAACAGGCTTTAAACAACTGCCGTCAGTGCGATGTGGTCCTACTAACGCAGAGGCAGGATCAGATGCACCTCAGCGCCAACGCGGGACGCCTTCAATATCGAGCATGGACACCGGCCTTGTATCTGCTTCGTAAGTGGGCTCGCAGAGTCCAAGCCAACTCAGAGCCAGCTGCTCAGCATTGGTGGTCTCGGAGCCACACAGACAGCTTCGCCGTCCAGGGGCCCCCGACAGGCGCGGTGGGTCCCCCTGGCTGGCTTTTGAGAGCCAGGCCTTCGCCCCGTGGTCGTCCCTCGGCCAGTCTTTTGGGTCCCCTAATCGAGCCTTCGATAGTCTGTGTAAAGGGTCCCGAAAGCCACGCAGGGCTTAGAGGAAGGATATGTCGCCTGTACCCCACCCCACACCCCGCTCGCCACCGGCCTACCATCTAGCTGCGTCCCTGGATAGGTAAGTATGTACGAAACTCAATGCTCGTCAGCGACTTGCCTTCTGATCACATCTCCAATGTGAATAATGGCGTCTGTGTCCCAAAACATTTGCAAATTGATGCCAGTCCGGCTTAACATATGGCTATTCTTGCTGGTGGACTGAGCATCCTATTCTCTGGTACCAATTCTTCACTTCTCACCACATATTGGTAATTTGTTTCACCTATCTGTCGGAACCTCAACTAATATGGTGGTTGAAATTTCTTCTGGACATTTCATTCGTGTATTTGGTGGCTTAGATAAGCGTAATGATCAATCAATTCGCTAGATCGGTGGTAAACACGTCTATAGTGGTGGCAATAATTCAATCCGTAATGAAATGTTTATTTTGGTTGCATTCATATAATCTGGTGGAATAAGTGAGTCTGGTGAGTGTGTCAAGTGAGTCAAGTCTGGTCAAGAGAAATGTCTATGTTTTTTTATTCGAAATTCATTTTTGGCAGCCGGTTAAAGGGGAGCCACAAAATAAGATAGTCAGGAAAAAGCTTGGAGATTCCACCCGTCATCAGGCTTGCTTCCCTGCTCGAAGCAAGAGCTGGCTGCCCCATTCGGGGCAAAATCAGTGATATATATATATATATATATATATATATATATATATATATCATACCAAAATGTGGGCGTTGGTTTGGTCTTCGGTTTCCGGCGCTTAGATCATTTCGTTAAGATTGCTGTTTGCATATTATGTCGGTAGAGTATGTATTTGGATGCCAGAGCGGCACTGAGGTCGTATCACGTGGAAACATGCAAGGGGTGCTTCGCATTAAGAGGGTGTTACTACAGTCCATTCGTACGACCGTACCGTCTCACATCAGTATGCAAGTCATACTAATTGAATAGAGCTACTGATTCAAAGACATTTTCAGCAAGACGTGCTTATAGCTAGTTATTGTAAATGACATTATCCGAGCTGGTGTCCGAGATGCACTGCTCCGATAAACGGACACGTATCGTATGATGAACATAGACTGGTTCGGTCTTCCTTTCTAATACTTGGCTGCTTGCCCTAAGGTAAGCCGTTCGGATATGTTCGCGCATTATATTGGTACAGCATGTGGGTGGGTTTAGATTAGTATTAAGGTCACGCGTGCCGGAATAATGCAGGAGACCCATTACCTTAAGAGGACGTCTCCACGGTCTGTCTGCACGATATGCCGTAACATCTCACAGCTGTGTACGAGTCGTATTAATTGAATAAAAGTGTTGGAACGCAACAGACATTCTCGGCACGGTGCGCAATCATCTTAGTATGAATCACATTATCCGTAATGGTGTCTGAGATACATTGCACTAATAAATGTACATGCAATGCTGGTAAAATTATTTTGTGTCGCCGACCGAATTTCTGCGCGCGAAATTGTCCCCGGCAGTGAAATGCGATATTATATGGCAGCAAACAGCAATGACATCCATGCCCAGCAGCATAATCAGAAATCAGCGCATCACTGAATGCCTCTTTAATCACCGCAACTCGCAATATCATGTATACAACCGAAACGTTCATTTATACGATATCATTCAACTTATGCCAGGATATCTGTTGCTGCGAAGAATGCGGGCACATTGGCCATACACAATAAGATAGTTCAATCACAAAAGCAGCGTTTCTTCACCCTCCGGACTTGCCGGACGTTAAAATTCGATCTACGGCTGGACTTGCTATCTTCGACCGCCCAAAAAAGGACGGCAAAGGACCTCGACAGCCAGGGCAGCTGAGTGCATGACAAAATACTAGCCCGCGGCAGGTAGCACTGAGGGATGACCCAAAACATGCCGGTCTCTTCGAGGCCATGTCCCCTTATGGAAACCACGTGTGCGCTTCGAGCCCGACCCCAATCATCATCATACTCTCCACTTTGGGCATGCTCCAAACCTGGCACAACATGCGTTGCCTGATGGGCGCCTTTCGATGCGCTACAACGATTGGTATATACAGGTTTCAACTGAGACTCAAGGCTCCCTGGAAAGGAAAAAGCAATATTTTTGGTTCCATGCCTGGGCTCAGATTTTGGTGCAGGCGACTGCGCAAATGCTGGGCAGGAGGTAGTGGGGGGCTAGCTGGAAGAATGAAGTACCGTCGTCACGGAAAAGAGGACCACAGAACTGTTCGAGGAAAATAAATGTCGGTTGTTTCCTATTCTTGTTACGCTGAGCAAAGCGCAAAATACAACAAAGCAACCATTTGCGGCTGCAGCCCACCTTTAGAAGACTGTTACATGTTTTGACGAACCGAAGTTACCAGAAATTCCGAGACAAAACATACAGAAGCTCATGCAAGTATACAGAGGGTCTGCGGATTTAAAGAGCTTTGAGCTCCTAATGAGGTCCTCAGGCTCTCGAGTGACCCGAAGGCGGTCCCACAGTGGCCTGAAAAGCCCTTAAGCACTTGTCGTCCCCCAAAAACAGGTGTCCAAACGGATCATTTAATCAAAGATATTTGCTTCGACGACCAACTGGGTCGCTGAGAGGCCCGTCGGGTATCAGCAACCAAACGAACACTTCGATGGCCATGAGGGCCTACAAGCGATCAAAAGCTCTCTTTCGTGACCGAGGGCCTGGGCGACTAGTTAAGTCCCTAAGCTGTTAGAGGGGGGCCCCACCCACAAGATGCTCGTCAGTAGCCAGAAGGGCCCCTCAGCAGCCAGAAGGGCACTGCTCAGCTAAAACGGTTCGTGAGCGACCAGAGATGCCCTGAACACACAGAAGATCGAGAGGTCAGTGCGTCCCGTGAGCTGATGTTGCCGTCGGGGCTTTACGTCGCACGGACCTCCACAGACGTCATGCTAAATGGCGCCACCCGCTTCTGATCCTAGTGGAAAGGGTGGGCACAGAGGAGAGTCGAGCCCAGTACCTCACGTTTCCCTCCTCACATTTTTACCTCACATTTTAACCGCAACGCTAAAACAGTCCAAGAGGGCCTGCGTAGTTTCGAGGTTATTTGGTGCGCTGAAACATGGGCGGAGGAACAGGAGGGTGTGGGGGGGGGGGGGGGGGCGGGGGGCCATGCCCCACTTTTCAGGGTGGGGGGCAGCAGTGTTGACTGCCCCCCATTTTTTAGATTAAGGCTGTACTTAGCTTACTTTTGCACTACACGAAACATACGTGCCGATTTACGTAGTTCACCAGCCATCTTCCTCAAGATGCGTCATGTTTTTTTTCGTTTGCTCACTGACCATTGCTAAATATCGCAACCGCAGGACCGACGCCGCCCAGCCGATGGAGACTGCAACGCTGGGCGCCAGGACCATTACTATGACCTGTGAGCGCGCATGGTCAAAACCATATTACATAGTTTCTTTATCAGTAATGAATTCTGGCTGAATCTTGAGTATTTTAAGATGGACGTGGATTAGCCATGTTGATACAAATTTGGGACCCCATTTCATCAACAATCTACGCCCAGAGCCCTCAATTTTTCTGGAAAACAGAAAAACATGGAACTGGAGCCTGTGTGACAATTATTAGACCACCTGCGCCGATCAGGGATGTTGTGGCATCAATGAGGGTTTCTGGGCTGAGCTGAGGCCAACCTCACGGGTCAGAAGGCCTCCCGTGTCAGGGAGGGGAACAATGTGATACGATATATCCTTCTAGTGGCCTCCGGATCGACCAGGAGATTCTGCCCCGTGTCGCAAGAATGGTGACCGGAGGACACTTCGCGATGGGACGGAATTGCCCTTCAGCCCTTGACCGGAAACGGTAGGCAATGTGCTCCTGGTGTTATTCTCAAGGTGCCCCTTGCCCGGAAGGAAATAAGGGGGTCTCATTTTTGTTGAGGAGAGTGGGATCTCATTATTGTTCAATAGAGTGGGTCGAAATTCGCCAAAAAAGCCAACAAGGCCATCCCATGTTTGACTGAAAACGTTCATTTTCTGAATGGATTAGTGAAACAAATTACATCAAAAAGTTGCACATGCCCGCCGGCCATCTCGAGAGCAAGGACAGCAATGACCTTGGTTGCAGCTTCCACAAAACCGAACGACGTCGGCCACAGCAAGTGCCGCCAGACGGCGGACGGCGCCGTGTAAATCTGTCTTCTGTACAGATTAATAGCTACAGAAACACGAAAAATGGAGATTCTTCCCTTACGCTTCCAGTTTCATCACCAGATTCCAGCACCGCTTTACGGAGCTCCAAAGGTTAATCCGTTATCATCAGTCCAAGAATCGCGCACGCGAAATATGCGCCTACACCGCCTTCTAAATGTAAGATTTGATGTCCTGAAGCGTTCAAAGGCGCTTCTTTGAGAAGGGTCATCATTTTCGTCCACACGTTGGCCACGACTCATTATTAACTGCTAGATCGACGCTGCGCGGCCCCCGGAGACTGCAACGCCTGGGGTCGAGGTTTGTTGTTGCTATCGGCTCTGGCTGAATGTTGAGCATTTCCAGGCAAACATGGCTTGGTCATGTTCATACACGTTGTTCACCGCGCCATCTGCAATCAAATTTTCATCTCTAAATTTTGATCAAACCTATCGATCTACAACCCACCTTCGCGATGTCCTTAATGTCTGAAGAACCCGGATAAGATCTGAGGAATCTCCTGAATTCTATCGGTTTAGAAGGAGTCCACTAAACCATTGTAAATTACGGGCGCCGCTGATTTAATCCTCACATTCGTCCCACCCCCGATTTCTGCACTTCATGGACTTTAAAATCCAAACAGAATTGATCCCACCTTAGCTTCTGGTTTCTGTTCTGGTAACAAGGTTAAAATAACAATAAAAGAATGAAAACCGTGTATCTTGTTTACAAGCCAGCTATATTCGGGGATTTTTTGAGGGCTGGGGTCACCAAAAGAAGGGCTTTTGTCAATCTTGTGCTCCTCCTTGGCAAGGCTCTGGCTACACTACTGCCTGCACACAAAAACAGATCAAGTCGTCTTCGTTAAATAATGGGCAGTGAAATGCCCGCGGCCGTGTGTGACCGCCGACGGCGGACGGGAGCAGGGCCCAGATAAGGAAGATACGAAAAAGGGCCTTCATTCTGAGGTTTGGTTTCTAAAGAAGAGTTTCCAGTTTTATGATGTCACATTGTTTTTCGCAGTTTCAAGCTTCTGAATTCGTTTCCACCTAACATGCTGCGACAAGTTTTATCTCTTGAAAAGCAGCCCACGAAATGAAGGCGCATGAAAAGTCTGTCGCACTATGAGCCATCAGTTCACTTTCAAAATTCTCACCAGCCTATGTCCGGGCCGTATTTTGACATCTACCCTGTGGAGGCAGACGCCTCCCCAATGACACAAACTGCCTACCCGCTCATGGAATTTCGCTTCCCCAGGAAAAACAACGTTGAAATGGACGAGCACTCTTGGGAAGCTGGATATCCTTATTTGCCGAATGACATAAATGAGTCGAATAGGCAAAATGGTGCGCCCGTGAGAAACAGCTCTAAATGCATATCCAGCATGGCAGCCGTCACATTTGAATAACTCTACCCCCCCCTCCCCTCCTGTCACCGGGCCTGCTTTCAAAAAAGTTTCTGGAGTACGCCTTGAGCTTGGCCGCATACTTTTTGAAACGTTCCTACGCCTATGTGCTGAGGGAAATTTGTAATGGCAGATGGGCCCTAAATAGTGCCTCGACTGCACACGTTGTCCAGCTGAGGCTCACCTATCTGTAATAGGGGCCTCTGGGTGGCCAAATGGGTCCTAGTGAATAGGTAGAGGATGGACTTTACTCCTTGAGCACGAATATTCTTCTTCACGCAGGCAGCCAAAACAGCCCTGTGTACACCTCCACAAAACCCTAGGTTTTGCGTCTTCCGGGATCAGGGAAAAGGGACGCTCTACCCTTACCCCTAACCCCATACTTCACAGGATCTCCAGACATCACCTCAGTCATGGCACGATGGCTTTGGCAGCTGTCTCAGTGGGGATCTTGGGCAGTCAGAAAGAAATGCCAGTGACTGGAAAATTCCTTGGGGGCCGAAATGCTCTCTGAATGGCTAAACAGACCTGTCAAGAGCAAGGTCTCTGAGCGGCAAGAGGGGTAATAAACTGGCAGGCAAATGATAGGAAATTATTGTGGGTGCAGCTGGCGGAGTCGACATGACTAATTCCTAGTGAAGCCCGACAATGCAAAAAGTATGGTGATATCTAGCCAAGTGGGCGGCAAGCACATTTTCAGTGGCGCCGTCTATGACTGATAGTGCCATCTACCGTAGTGTCACCGCCTGCAGGTGGCGCCGCCTCCCTTAGTATCCAGTTCGGGCCGTATTATCCGCACTAGTATCTGAGGTGCACCGCACCGATAAACAAACGTACGTGCATCGTACCAAAAATGTAGGCATTAGCTCGGTCTTCGGCTTTGGACGATTCCGCCAATTATTGATTTGGTGCTCAATATGTTATTGGAGCTAACTTAACTTTAGTGGGGCAATTCTGTTCACGTTAGCTGATTGTGTTCGATGCGTGCTGCGCGTAGAAAGCCCACGGTGGTCGTTTTTCCTCCTAAATAGTAGCATGAGTTAGTAGAAGAAATCATACAGGTACAGGTAGACGATCCAAATATACATTTCGGTGTAGGTGTACTTTCCTACCTAACGTTAGAAAACATCATTGTACACCATTCGTCGTGTTTTAGGTGGAGCATGTCGTAAATAATCTCAAAAGAGGTAGAATCACCTCCTACCTTCGAATTTTAATAACTACGATGGCGAGCCCCCGGGAGCGACACGCACCGCACCGCCAGGACCGCACCCCAGCGCCGTTTCTGCGTTGCCGTTGCGTAATTACAATATTTCTGCTTACCAAGAGCTATAAAAAATGTATGGGACCAAGGTAATAATGATGGTAATAATAATAATAATAATAATGGTAATAATAATGATAATAATAATGCAATGCAAATAGTTTCTTGTGGCGTTTAGGTGCGTTTATGAAACGCACAGGCCAGAATAGTCCAGAGTATAGCCTAGACTAACCCAACCTAACCTAACCTAACCTAACCTTGCCTTACCTCACCTTACTCAACCTAGCCTAACCCAACCTAACCTAACCTAACCTAACCTAACTGAGAATAGACCAGAACCTAAGCTAAGCTAAGCTAAGCTTACCTAACCTAACCTTACCTAACCTAGCCTAACCCAACCCAAACTAACCTAACCTAACCTAACCTAACCTAACTTGACCCCAATCCCCCTGCAACCCATCGTCCCGTTGGCGCCGAGGATCAAATTTCATGGATTCTTGTTACCTTGGCCCGTATACTTTTATAGTTCTTGATGCTGTTTGATGCGCAGTAATGTTACGACCTCGCGCAGTAATGGCGCCGGTGTCGCGGCTGCTGTGTGTTTGCGGCGGTCAGATATTCGGTGTCTTAATTAGTTAAGTTCCAAGGTAAGAGTATAGATGAACTGTTTTATGACTAATTGTGATATGTTTTGCCTTAAAAACAACGATTGATGTACAATGCTCTTTTGTAACATGAGGTAGGAAAGTACACATTGACCGCCAGAGAGATGACTGTTTTTAAGTGCCGAATCTGATTACCGCATGTCGCCGGTTTGTACTGGGGATGGCGTGATGAAGGGTTTGAAGTCTGCTCTTTACGGAACACAATTTTTTTGAGGGTTCTGTGCAGTCTAGTACTCATTTAAGCATGTTAAGTTTCTGTGGATTACTGTAGATATATGAAATCCGTGCAATTGGGGTCCTTTACCATGAAGCTGCCCATAACAGGAAAGGGCTGTATGTGAGCAGCAGGCTGTCCCCACATCCTACTTTCTATGTTGTCATAATGGGTCAGGAAATTGTAGGCTGCTTGACAAAAAGTGGAGCTAAGCACATTGGACTATGAGGGGTGATGTTCTCAAAAATGTTTTGAGAGCCCCACGCCTCTGACAGTAAATTTGTTGTTTTTTGGTACTGTTTTTCATTCATTGTGGTTGTAGTCCTTATGTTGAAAGTCGAAATTAATTAGGGGTTGGTACTCCCAGATACTTGTGGGACACCTTAAGTTCAATATTGATGTCAACCACCTTGTCCTGTCTTTTTGGGGAGAGATAAGATCTCAAAAGTGTTGGCTTGATCAGATTGGCTTTTAAAAGTGTGACAGAGTCAGCCAGGATTGTTTTGGCAGATGTTTAGTAACAAAGAAAGTTTGCACAGGCAGGTCAAAATTCACCACAGACCACCCTGATGTTATTGGATTTGACCAAAATAGGACTTGGTGTGGAGCGAGCTTAGACTCTCATATTTGCTGACGTTTTGTCCTCCAGGGGGGTCATTCAGCAAATGCTGCAGGAGGTGCAGGAGGGAGTTGTGTGGTTCTTTGGCCTGAGGCTAGATATCATCAAAGTCTCTTAGCAGGTCAAGTTGAAAGCTGACATAGAACATGACACAAACTGTTTTGCCCTATTTTGTTTTGTTCATCCCATACAATCGTGATGGACTCTAGTTAACTTCAAATGTAACTCTGGCCCTACCTGACAAGGGGAGGCTGGGGCTGGTGCCTCCCATGACTATCTGAGGAGAAAGCATGCTGCACTCCGAAAAAGACAGTGATCGAAAGCTGTCGCCAAACTGTACCGGATTGATGCAGCATCATGTCTATGTCAGGCTGCCAGTGGTTAACCTAACAACACTTTGTTGTAAATGGGGACTGTTGTTGCATCATAGTAATGTACCGTGGTGAGGTTATGTACATACATTATGTCTTTCACCATTCTAAGCTGTTGAGACACAACTTCTGTGCCACATTAGGTAGTTGTGCACTGATCTCGTGGCTCAGAACCAGGCGTACATGGTGTTAGGTTGTGTTAGAAGTTATTACCCACTGCAACAGTGTAGGTCACGATGGCAGGTAACAGGTAATATTTTTCAGCATGTTGCCATCAGCGTGAGTAACGCAGCTAACCCAAAAGATTAGGCCAACACTCAAGGAGAGAGATGGCCGACTCGGACGGCCCTGACTCGGGCGCGGTCAGACGCCGGGTGGCAGCACCGGCAGACAGCGGCGGCCGTCAGGTGCCGGCGCCGGTCAGCGATGGCGCCAGCGGCCGACGGCGTCGGTCGAAGCCAGCGCCGCCGCTGCTGCTGCCCGGCCTCCTGTTCTCGGTGGCCGTCTCCGGCCTGCTGGGCTGGTGGCTGCTCCGTAGCGTCACCTCCGACGCCGACATCGACACGGTCGCGCTGGCGAGCACCCTATCGGACGCGCTGGTCGCCCAGCAGGCGGCCGTGGCGGCGCTGGTGGCGCACCTGCGGCGCGCGCAGAGCTCGGGCGCCCAGCGGCTGGACTTCCTGGCGCTGGGTCCGGTCGGCACGGGCAAAACGCTGCTCAGCCAGCGGCTGGAGGCGCTGGGCGGGCCAGTGGCGGCGCGCCGCCTGGTGGGTGGCGCCGAGATTGGCCGCGACCGTCGGGCGCTAGACCTGCTGGCCGCCGATCTGCTCTCGGCCGCCGCGCCTGGCCGCTGGCTGCTGCTGGCGCTGGACGACATCACACACTACGTGCCCGAGGCCGTCTACCTGCTGGAGGCGGTGGGCGCGGCGGCGGCGGCGGCTGACGTGCGTCTGATGACACTCGTCACCGCCACCACGGACGACCTGGCGGGAGAGCGCGGCGCCGACGCCGAGCGCCAGGCGTTTCGGCACGCGCACCGTGTGCGGCTGCGGCCGCTGCGGCGCGCCGAGGTGGCTGACTGCCTGCGCCGCTTCGCCGCTGGCCGCGGCGTCCAGCTGGGACAGGAGACCGTGGACGCCGTGCTGGAGGCCGTGCCGTTCGAGGGCCAGTACGCCGCGCAGGGCTGTAAGCTGGCGCTCTACCAGCTACAGACGCTGGTGAACCTGAAGGACGGCTGAGCAGGTCGGCGGCGAGGCGCGGTCAGGTCACTATCCAGTGCCGGAACTGGCAGCTGCTCGTGACATGCTGTCATAGGTCTGCGTTGTTTGTGCTGAGCAGCTAAACACCAGTTACTTGTTGTCGCCTTTCCAAAGCGGTGCTGTGTTTTCTGGATGTTTTGTTGAATTTATGCGGCCGGGCTTTCCGGTACGAATTGTAAAAAGCTATATGGTTCCTCGATTATTGAACTGGATTTGTTTTTAGCTGTACACACTGATGATGAGCGCGCCAGTGTGAGCTGCTGGGTTTGTGTAATGATTAGTGTTTTGTACGCGGCCATATGATGAAGGCATTTGTAGATGCGTTGATGGCTTGTCTGCCTCTGTGTACCTACCTGGAATTATTGGAGACCAGCGAGCGTCGTATAGAATCAAGTGAGTGCTTTTTGCAGTCACTAGATGTTTTGCAGTATAATGAATAAGAAGTGTTTTGCCATAAGCTTTTTTTTCTTTTTCTGGGGGCGTCATAAAATCATGCGTGCAGTTTTCTTGTGGATTTGCTTCTCGCTGAACTTGTGATGAAAAGAACGAAAGCGTTGACAGGTTAGCACTTTTTGATTCCGTTCACGGCACAGTGACGCTTAGATGCTATTGCAGTGCTGGCACTGCCAGGGTCTCTCTTTCCACATGGCCCATGGCGGCAGATGTTTCGACACGCGCACCGCGCGCGGATCCGGCCTCTGTGGTGCTTATGACCGTGTCCGCGGCCGCAGCGGCCGCTATGACCGTGGACGCCGCGCTGGCGGCCATGCCGTTTGAGGGCCAGCACGCCGCGCAGGGCTGTAAGCCGGAGTTCTACCTGCTGCAGACGCTGGTGAACCTGAAGATAAGGTTGCCGCTGGGATGCCACAGCTAGGACCACGGACACCAGACAAAAATGAAGATTACATTTGAGTTACAAGGATACCGGGATATCCACGCATGCAATGAAAATAATTTGGTGGATTTCCCAATGCAGTTTAGAGTAATAATGCGTTTGCCTCACATGTTAGCGTTAACACGCGCTCGGGTGGGGGAGGGGGATCAAATTGACTCTCCCCAAAGGTTTTTCCCGAATGGTTTCCGAACAGGGCGGCGTAACTGTGCCAAATTTTTCTTAGCTGTAGCCAATTGAACAGCGGATCGTTTGGCATCAAAAATATAGGTGTACCTTGTAAGGTAACTGACCAATGTCAGGTCAAAGGCCATGGTTTCAGCGAAGGCAATTTCTATAGTCCTTCAATCTTATCTAACAACGGAGTGTTGGACGAAGCCATACATCTCTGAGATGCTTTCGTAAGCAACACAACAGGTAAATGAGCAAATTAAATTGACCTAAGGTCAGGTGTTAAGGTCACACCAAGGTCAAAACCAACCTGTTTTGTTACTCTATTGCTTGCTGTATGGGATAGTTCCTGGTGCTCATTTTGAATTTACTGATAGCGGGAACCGCATTATGCATCTTCCATAGACTTCTTAGAGGTCAGAATAGGTCATTGACCTAAAATGACCCAGGTCAACATTTTGTGTTAGGAGCATACTGCCTAGCGTAATCTTTGTCGCGTATTCAAATGCGAAGCTCAAAGTAATCTTGCATGATTTTGATCACATTGACCTTCAAAAAGTCAAACAAGGCTATTGACCTTGAATGAACATGTGACTTTTGGCTTAGAAACGGTTATCTAGGCTCTGGGGGAACTTTGGAGACCAACCTGGAACTTGACCTTGTTTGACCTTTTTGACCCGAAGGACATGACCTAGGAACCTGAAACTTTGACCTGAGTGAGTTTACGCACAGGTCAACAGACCCTGTAAATTTGGTGTCTTTAGCTTTCCTAGTTCCCGAGATCTCAGGGGGGGGGGGGTATCAAATTGACACCCCCTCAGCCGGGCGAAGGGTATCTAGCCGGCCACCCGGACGTATGTTAACATCGACGAGAAATGTGGTGCCATCGCCGGGCATTCCCGTGTATCTCTGAGCGACACAGGTCATGATGCAACGATCATGGCAGGTGTGATACACTTGCTCTGGTTGCGGAGGTGTGCCGCTATCGGCCGGCTCGGTGCCGTTGTCGCTACTGAGATTCGGCGTCGAGTACCGACGCGACAGCCGCGTGCTTCATCGGGTATCGGTGCGGCGCCCAGCACACGGTGGCCGGAGCGATGCTGACAGTATTTCGCGCTAAACTGGTAGCGTATATACACAGCGGTGGATATGTCCATTGGTTAGCTGGGCTCCTCAAACATGACTGGGATGGCGAGGATAGAAAGAGGGATTGCCTTAGCTGTACCGGCGTTGCCTTCTCACAGGCAAGCGATGGTTGCAGCCGCAATGACAGCCTTACAATAGTAAAGGGAATATTCAACGTTTGGAAATATTAAAGCATCAGCTGTGATGAAATAAACTCACTGATACGTTTTGGTATACTTTCAAGTGGATGACAACTTAAGACAACACAATTCCCTTGTTCAGCAAATACGCTCCTCAATACGTCATTGTTCACGGGCTTCTTAAAAGCCTAAATTGTACTTTAAGATTGATAATAGCGCAGTTTACCAGACCAATGCATTGCGTGCACTAATATGCTGTCAAGCTATGAGTACATCCTCTTGCTTACACTTGCGTCTTACACTACCTGCGTCTTCTCATCGAACCTGTCGAAAACATAGATGACTCCGGAATCGATTTGGACTCCGCCCAGAGCCCAGTAGAGGTCTAGCTGTAGTCGGCCAATACTGTCGGTGGCGTTGCTGATAACAAAATTTCGGGGAGTGTTAGTAGTCGGGGCATACAAGCCAACGTCGGCTTCTGTTCCAGCGCGTAAAATATTAGCGCCAACGCATGAAAGATCGAAGTCAGAATGTGCTGGTTGTTCTTCTGGCTTGGTAAAACAGTCATAAACACGTCGCACCTCCTGTTTGAGTGCGCACAGTCGCCGTCTGGTAGCGAGGTTGGTGGCCATGCACACCTGTACCGCAGCTGCTATTCAAACAAACCGTGTATTTGTGCACACACTCGCCGGGCTTATCTCTACATCCGAAGGGAGGCCGGGACAGCAAGGCCTACCTTGGACTGGCTTACATTCCACTCAACGTGCAGACTAGATTATATCCCACTCTAGGTGACACGCGATAACGTCCATGGGGGGCCGATATGATACTTTATCAGATAGCAGACCAGGCGGCCATATCGAGTTCTGATGAGTGTGGTCGGCCAGCGCGTGCCACATCACCCGCCCAGGTCACGTCTCAAGACACTGGTCCCAGTCCTGCCAATACAATTCCTTAATGCGCTCGCAGTGTTTAACCAAGTTTGGACAGCGGTGCCGCGTGAAAAACTCCAGGTGCGGCCCGGAAATGTACAACAGCTGAACGACCATGCCGAACACGCAGCAGTCGAGCTCCGTCATGGCCGAGCCCAGCATGAACTGCTTGTCGCCGAGAAACGTGGACAGTGCCAGCAAATCTTTCTCGATCAGCATCATCAGTTCCGGCTCGCTAAACAGACCGATACCCTGCTCCTTCGAGCGGCGCGCAAACCCAAAGCGCAGGCCCAGTTTCACGAACGGCATGTACTTCCGCACGTTTTTCGGGAACTCGGGCCACACGTGTCGCATGCGGTCCAGGACGTAGCGCCGGAAGAAGACGCCCCAGGCGGTGCGTTCTTCAAGCATCACCTGGAAGGCCCGGCCGCACGCGAGGTCCCGCTCCGAGCAGTCGGAGGTCATGCGGACGCCCAGTTCGTGCGCGATGTGGTCGATGATGAGGGTGGAGTCAGCGACCTCGCGGCCGTTCAGCGTGATCCAGGGGCACTTGCCGCGCGGCCCGAACGGCACCCGGTCGTCCACCACGTACGTGATGTTGTTGGCGCGCAGGTAGGTCTCGACCTTGACCGCGAACGGTGAGATGTTGGGGCACGAACGAGCCCGCGCGAACTGGTGCAGCACGACGACGTCCCGACCAACAGCCGCCCACTCGGCCCTGCGGAGGCGGAGAGGGCACTGTCAGATGGCGCCGCAGAGGAGACGCGTGCCACCAGGCACCGGATCATCTGCAGACGTCCCACCAGGCACCGGGTCACCTACACACGTCCCACCAGACACCGGGTCACCTGCACACGTCCCACCAGGCACCGGGTCACCTACACACGTCCCACCGGACACCGGGTCACCTGCAGATGTCCCACCAGACACCGGGTCACCTGCAGATGTCCCGTCAGACACCGGGTCACCTGCAGATGTCCCACCAGACACCGGGTCACCTGCAGACGTCCCACCAGACACCGGGTCACCAGCAGACGTCCCACCAGAGACTGGGTCACCTACACACGTCCCATCGGACACCGGGTCACCTGCAGACGTCCCACCAGACACCGGGTCACCTACACACGTCCCATCGGACACCGGGTCACCTGCAGACGTCCCACCAGAGACTGGGTCACCTGCAGACATCTCGCTATACGGCCGGGTACCTGCAGACATCCCGCCACACGACCGGCTGCCTGCAAACGCCTCATCAGACAGGCGGACATATGTGAAGGTCTCATCGGACGGTGGGCCATCTGCATGGGCCTCGCCACACTGCAATCTGCCTCCAGACATCAAGCCGGACACCAGGGATCTCCTGAGGTTCCACCAGGCAGCAGTCTACCTGTAAATGTCCGAACAGATGGTAGTCAGCCTGCATACCAGAGCAATTGTCAATCAACTCCATGCTCGGATCCTGAAGGGAGCGTGCCACCTTTTTTGTACTTTTCATTCATTGTTGGATTAGACGCGTGCTATTTTATCAGTAGCACCAGTTTTCTCGAAACTCTTCTGAGTTGCTCAGAATTTCTATTGAAAGAATTCGCTTCCAAGATTATTCGACCCATTGCTCACCACTAAGGAAGTAATACATTTCATTTGCGTTGCTTTTTCAACGGGTATGTTTTGTGATGTTAAGAACACACCAATTTGCCCAAATGTTTTGTGATCAATGCTACGAAAGCTTGAGACAATCGGTCTAGACAAAAAGATATTAAAATGAAGATTTTATCCCACGAATTCAACGAAACGTTATACTATGACTTTGATTTCTCACCTATGGTGTTTACCACGGTGGTTCTTTTCAAGACGCACTTTAGCTTTGGGAATGGCAGTATCACATTGTCCATAGTGACGCATTTGCCACTAGCTCAAACTCCAACCAATGCGCTTTTCAGTAGCGCTTCAACCAGTGCCCTTGCCGCCCGCTGGCCCAACCACACACTTTTTATCTACACCAGTAAGGGTGCCACGACGGTTGTCATGACGACGGCGATCGCGACAATTGCAGGAAAGAAGCACAGTGCTGTCACAAAGTGTTGACAGCGTAATTTTGTTTTAATAATGATCCAAATTGATATCCTTTTTATGTCTTGACGGCGCTGCAGTGGCGCTACCCGGTGCAGGTTACTATACTAAGTGGTCCGGAGGTTCCACAAAAGTATGTGTTTTGAAATATGCCCAAAAGCTGGGACACTCCTT